TATGTGTTGCTGGTGAAGGTTTTCTCTCACTCTGTGGGTTTTCCCATGGCTTCCTTGGTTGTTTCTTTTGCTGTACAGAAGCTTTTTAGTTTAATGAGGCCCCACTTGTTGATTCTTGACCTTGATTCCTAAGTAATTGATATCTGGTTTAGAAAGTCCTTTTCTACACCTATGTCTTGTAGGTTATTGCCAATGTTTTCTTCTAACAGTTTCAGAGTTTCAGGTTTCACATTGAGGTCTTTGATCCATTTGGAGTTGACTTTTATCCAAGGTAAAAGATAAGGGTCTAGTTTCATTCTTCTATGGGTGGAGATCCAGTTGTGCCAGCACCACTGGCTGAAGACGCTTTCTTTCCTCCAGTGAATGTTCTTGGCACTGTTGTCAAATATCAGGTGGCTGAAATTGCATATATTCATGTTTGGGTCTTCAATTATGTTCCTTTGATCTACAGATCTATTTTTGTGCCAGTCCCATCGTGTCTTTATGATTATATGATTATAGCTCTGTAACTCTGTAATATAGTTTGAAATCTGGTATAGTAATACCCCCAGTATTGCTCTTTGTGTGCAGGGTTACTTTGTTTATCTGGGGGTCTTTTGTGGTTTCATGTGAATTTTAGGATGTTTTTTTTTTTCCAATTCTGTGAAGAATGTCATGGGGATTTTGATTGGCATTGCATTGAATCTAAAAATGGCTTTTGGTAGAGTGGCCATTTTCATAATATTAATTCTTCTAATCCATGAGCATGGGAGGTCCTTCCATCTTCTGGTTTCTTCCTCAATATCTTTCTTCAAATATTTAAAATTTTTTATTGTGGAGGTCTTTAATATACCTTTGGTCAGGTTTTTTCTGAGATACTTTTTGAGCCTATTGTGACTGGAAGAGTTTTTATATACTTTTTCCAACTGCTAGCACAAGCTCTTTTTAAAATTTTTATTCCATTTATGTGTGTGCACGCATGTGTATTTGTGAATATGGCAGTCAGAGGACAATTTGTAGAAGTCAGTGTTGTTGTTTTTTTTTGCCATGTGATGTCTAGGGATTAAACTTAGGTCCTCTGGCTTGGTAGCAAGCACCTTTTTGCCTACTGAGCTATTTCACCAGCCCAGCAGCACAAGTTCTTTAGGTAAACTCTCTGCCTTTTTCCTCCTCTCCATGACTGCTACCTGCCTAAGAGAGTGACCACTAGTGGGACAAGGAGGCTCAGTAGCTGTGCTGAGTCCTTGCTTTCAAACCCAAGGAGCCCAGAACTCCAGTTTCGTAGGGGCAGTGCTTAGCTGAGGAAACCCTGTATAACCAGAAACAGTTCATGGGGCTGGTCAGAACCCATACAACCAGGGCAGACCTGCAATCTGGCTTGTGGGAAGGAGTGTTTAGCAAGGGCAGCTTTGAAGGTCATCGTGAAAATGGCATGATCCTCGACAAGCTAACCTAGCCTGCATAGGTTGCTGACATCTGGCCTGTTTGCCTTCACATGCAGCAGAATAGAGCCAGGGCTCCCTTTGCATCCAAAGAGACTGCATCTGTCATCACCTGAGGAGAGCAGCTGTGATTAATGAGATGATGCACCTGGGCTGGGAGCAAATGCTGAGCCTGAGCTACTGACTTAGAGCCAAAGTCCCTTTAGAGGTCATTGACATCAGTTCATAGGAGCTGAGAGGAATTCTTTGAGTAATAGAGTACCTGCCCCAATTTGCACAGGCTTTGGGCTAGCAAGAAATTTGTAGCCATTCAAATGTACCCAAGTCCTTCTAAGCATACAGGACCAACCCTCCAGTGAACACCTACAACACTCCACAAACACAGTCAGTCTGAGAACGTCCCATTTTCAAATCAAAGTGTCCTCCTACTTCTTAGAGCCTGCCCGACACCAAGCCCTTCCTCTCGTAGTATGACACACAGACTGTCACTAGCTCTGGCCTTCTTTTACATTCTACTTGAAGAAAGTCACTGTCTCTGTGTCATTTGGTGGGAAAGACCAAACAGGTCCCCAAGGTTGCTGCAGAGCCCAACTGCCTACAGCATCTTTGTTGTCTGGATAGCGACAAAGACACAAGGATGATGACGTGACCTAGGGAAGAAAACCCAAATGGTGTTCGTTTTTAACCACCAAGGTTCCACACACTGTCACCCGTGGTGACACTCTGTTTGAGGGGGTTAATGGTCCTTTAAAAGTAGCCGGTCACACTTAACCCTTAGCAGAGTACAGCCCAAAATGTCTGTTCTAGGCCGGGCATGGTCCCTACACTCCTGCTGTGGTTGATGTGAGTGCACATTTCTCTTTCAGATTACGACATTTGTGCCCAGGCTCCCTGTGAACAGCAGTGCACAGATAACTTTGGCCGAGTGCTGTGTACATGTTACCCAGGATACAGATATGACCGGGAGAGACACCAGAAGCGGGAGAAGCCATACTGCCTGGGTGTGTTGGAAATATGTGTTGGTTTCCAGCTTCTAGAGATATGTCATGCTCAGGTGGCTCTGTCCTTTGTTGGATTTTAGGCAGCAGCAGGACCAGCTCAGAGAATTTCTCCCCTGAAGTCCTCACAGTTCCTTGTTCTATGGAGTAGTGTTTGGTCATAATCCTATGGGTCACACAATGCTTTTCCGTCATGATTATCAAAACAATGTACAGGGATATCTTAGGAACTGGCACTAGTCAGAGCCTAACTGGTGGCTAGACAGAAAGGGAACAATGTCCAGTAGAGACTAGAATAGTATAATACAGAACATACATGATCAGAAATGCAAAGACATGGTAGAATGAGGATAGGCCTTCTCAGAGGACAAGTATTGGTACAGTAAACAGGTGGGAGGCCATTTGGAGGGAGCTGAAACTTGTCACCTGGGCTGCAGCTGAGCAAACAGGCCAGCTATCTTCAGTGGCCACTAGCCCATTTCCTTTGCCCCCACTGATGGGGCTTTCCCACGATGTACTTCTGAGGTGGTTTAAGATGCATTGTTCCAAGGGACCATGTGTTTCAAAGCGTGGTCATTCTGTGCCTAACCTGAGGTCCCAGCTTAAAAAATAAAGTATCCTGGCCTCTCTTCCAGTCCTAATGAGACACAGCTATGAGCAGTGGATCCAGGAATGTGCATGTTCTGTGTCTCCTCAGGGATGATCTACAATAGCCATACTTTTAGTTTGGAATGAGTGAGTTTAAGAATACAGAAAACCAAAGCAAAAGGAGAGCGAGAAAAGTAGAATGCCATCAAATCAGGCGCTCAAAACATCTGGCAGAAACTGACTAAGGAAGCCCCTTCCAGGAGGTCAGCTGGAGTTCTTGATAGAGAGTCCCAAGCAAAGCAGCATGGCTTCTTGGGGACCTCAAATAAAAGAATAAATGGCTACAGATAGAGATAACATCAGTAAATTGGGTGCTCATAGCATCCAGGAGAAACTGCCTGTGGAAGTTGAGGCAGCCAGCTGGAGTTCCCGGCTAAGCCTTCTCTCCATGGCGAGCTTCCCATGGCTGAGCTCTGGCTTCTCTTTTCCACTGCAGGCACTTTTATATCATGGGATAAGCAACAGTAACCTCTGTTGGAAATGGTTTACATTTTAGCTGTTTTAAAGAACACTGTTTTTACTCTTGGACTGTTTTCTTGTTCTCTTCCCCTCCCTGTCACAGAGTTAGATGAGGCAGCCCAGTCCTAGACAAGAGACCTTGGAGAAAACTTAGAGACGAACAGGGTTAAGTCTGAAATGGGGTTGGGGGGCAACCCCACTTCCAGAGCCAACTTCTTAATGAGCTCTAACAACATATGAAAATTTGTCAATATAATGAACAACAGTGGATTTTCACAAATGACACTAAATGACATGTTCATTGATGTTTAAGAATCAGGTAGATTAACCAAGACTTTCAGATAGACCCAAGTGAGAAGCAAGCCAGCCTTGATGCACACTCCTTCCCCTCTAACCAGCAGGGGCTCAGGGAAGAAGCACTTAGAAGGTCTGACCATAGGTCTTCTTTTTCCCCAACAGCATCTGGGAATAGTGCCCCAAAGAATGGGACCAACACTATTAAGTAAATAGAGTGGGGTACCCAAAGCACCACCTGCCTAGAGCACAGGCTGTCCCAGATGACTCAATCCCTGACACAAGGCTGGTATTTCACTATCTGGTAGCTACCTTGGTCTGTTCTTTCCATTTGGTGACCAGCAGAACATGCTTTCAACTGAGATGTGTGCCCTCTCTCACACAGCAGCTTCGTACTTAGGGTTAGGGCAGGGACGCCTAGATACAGGCTTTCAGCTGGTGGAATTACACAGGAAGGTTCAGCTGGGACCTCCAGCCTCTAGATGACAGTGTGTACTGCCAGGGGAACACCCACACCACCACGCTCTCCTTGGCACACTCAGCTCCTGTCAGAGCCTGTTCTTTGGCAGGTTGCCCAGGGAGCGGCTGGGAAGCTGTCTGCCTCCTGAAGCTCAGGGCTGGGCTTTGCCCCACACATGTGCAGAGCCTGAGGTTGTGTCCTTGCTCCCACCCACTGCTACCAGGTGTCTTTAACCAGCGAACAGGAAATGGACTCAGGCCTGCCCTACTTCCCATGGTGAGAAACATTTTTGTTTCCACCTCATGCTGCAGGGGAGCACGTCAGTGCTGTGCCCGGTCAGTGTGGACTCTTGTGGTCACTTATTTGATGGTCTCATGGCTCATTTCCACAGCTCACCAGGAGTCATCTTGGATCATTTTGAGGCAGAGATTGCCTGGGGAAAACCTCTCTCTGTAAGACCCATCATAACTATTTACTTTTGTCAGATGTAGCTTTTCCCAGGTACTACCATGTATTTTAACTGGGAAGGGGCCATTCCTAAGTGACCTTTGAGTCACTCCCGTACTGTTTGGAACCTCCAGTTATGAAGGGCGCCTTAAGCCTCAGTGCACCAGGCTACCTTCAAGAAGTCAGCTAACTGCTTCTCAAAGAGCTTTGCTGCTGGTTATTTCATTTTCTCTTCTGCAAAGCCCTGGGGAGTGTCTCAGGCAGGCCTCATTGTCCCCATCCTCCAGGTGAATCTCAGGTTGGCAGTGCCTGCACAAAACCACATGACAGCTGGAGACCCCACCACTAGAGATCTGTAATGACAATCACATAGCCCAAAGCCTGGCTTTCATGGGTGACCTGCGTTTCCAGTGTTTGACTTTATTCCACACTTCTCTGTCCCTGTCTGGAAGTGTCCTTTGCTCATGGTAGCAGAGGGAGCAGGGCAATGTCTGCTGTGCTGAAACTGTTCTCCGCATTTGATTCAAAATAGATATTGATGAGTGTGCCACAAGCAACACAACACTATGTGCACACATCTGTGTCAACACCGTGGGCAGCTACCACTGTGAGTGCCGGGAAGGCTACGTCCTGGAGGATAATGGGAGGACCTGCACAAGGGGAGACAGACACCCCAACAACACTGGTGAGTGGGACCAGCGTGATACTCCTAGTCATATGCATCGTCTATCGCATCTTATATAGATTTTCAAGTTGGGGATGATATATACATACAGATGAAATGTCATTTATAAAATATTTGTATAAATTTTACCTCATACTATATCAATATAATTTATTATATATAATGCATCTTACATATTTATGTGTATGATTATACTTCACGTAATATCTTAGAGTATATATGTAATATATAAGGTTCTAAATATATACATCATTGTGTACAACATAGTTATATGTAATATATAGCCCCTATTATATATATAATTTATGTAGTATTATTTTAGCATTGTATATATTGTATATCCCAGTTGTATATTTATCTGTATTATAAATTATGCATAACTTGTAAGTTAGAAGCACTTGGGAGCCCAGCTGTTCCTCTGGGAACACTGGGCAGGAAGGGATGAAGGGATGCTCGCAGGAATGGTAGGTGGAGGCTGGATAAGAATATAAGTTCTAACTCCTAAGGAGAGATGTGGGAGCACTGTCTAGGCATATGAAGGCTTGCAAGCTGGCATATGCTGGAGGAAGGTGGTGTGCTCCTAGAGAAATCAGTAGCACTTGGCTGTGTGTTTAGAGGAATCTAGGATGAACAGGGAAGAGGCCAGATGTGCTATGTTCTCTCAAAGAAAATGTGCTGAAATATACATTTGAATCATTTTCACATAAGGTACCAATCTGCTTCAGTGTGACTCAAAGTGTAATCCTTGCCTTGTTCCTGCCCATGAACTATTTGTTTGATTCATGATCAGATAAAAACAGAAATCAAGAGTGTTTATGAATTTTTATACCAATTTGACAGAGAATGTTTATTTAATTTCCAAAATTTATGCTTGTGTTTCATGTCTGAGCTTTCAAGAAACTCATTTTGTATCTTGCAAAAGTACCAGTCCATAATCACTTGCAAAATTCCTACCAGCTGGTCCTTCAGCAAAGAGCTGTGAGGCTGATAGACAGATTCAGCTGAGATGTCTGGGCTCTGAAGCATAGGGCCCACCTGGGATCTGGGTTACTTCATGTTTGAAGGAGAAAAGAAAGAATGAGGTAGAGGAGAAAGAAAGAAGTGGGAAAAGAAACCCCACATCAGTGTCAGTGTTTCAAGGAACAAATTGGTGGCAAAAACTCACAACATTCATTTGTAAACTAACTCTAATCTCTGTGCCAAGTACCAACCTAGCTGTTAAATTTTAGTATTTTAGCTTATGGGGACCAATGTCAAGAGCCTTCCAGCTAGAATGGTCTTTACTGGCCAGCATTGAAGGACAGATACCCTCACCCATTTAAGGGCCCTGGGCTGGGTTCTGTACTACCAAGGGCTCTGAGAGAGAAAGAGAGAGAGAGAGAGAGAGAGAGAGAGAGAGAGAGAGAGAGAGAGAGAGAGACCAGGAAGCTGTTCTCTTTCTGAGCTCAAAGCTTGGTACATGTTTACTTCAGGAAGGCACTTTATCTGGAAGCCAGTCAAGGAGAGGGTTAGAGGACCTGAGCCATCCCTGAGAAGAGGGAAGGGAGGGCTCCCAGGGCAAATCACATGTACCAAGATATTCAGTAAGATAGGAAAACTAGAAACAGCTGGACACTCCCAGGATGGAGACCCAGCTTCAAAAAGCCTGGGAGGCAGCAGTGGACAGCTGGGTACCAGCTGCTTCATGCGGAAGAACTACAAAGGCAGATTCTGAAGAGCAGCTAGATTGAATCATGGAGAAGCCACTATGTGTAAGAAGAAAATGCAAAATAGCTCTTTGTAGCCAGCTCAGGACAGGGTATTTGTGGATCCTGTATATAAGCTAAGTAGGCTGGGCGTGGATACACCTTTGAGACCCTGAAGCACATGGAGAAGGGCGGGGAAGTATAACTTCTCTCTTAAGTTATAGCCTTTATTGAGAAGAAACTCTTTGAAAATCAGCCTTTTAGCCACTGATCTATTACTGTGTGGGCCATGAATGCTTCTGAGCTATCACCCAAGCTCGGGTGGGTTTCTTGGTGCTAAAGCTGCCTTTGTGTCATTTGTGCTCCTGTAGTACCCTCCAGCTATACTCCTGTAAGCAACCCCAATGAACTCATTGCTTCACTGAGGTGGATTGGGTAGAACTGTTCTTTAGGTCCTTGGTGCCCTTTTTGGGGCCATCACATATTTGTTCACATTCTCCCCAGGAAAAGTTTCACAACTCAGTTCCCCAAACATGAATTAACAGAACAAAGATGAGTTGGGGAAGAGTGGTTTCTTGGCCCCTGCCATGGATGGTGAGACAAGATCTAGGGCTGATCTGTGTGAGGGTACATCCCCTGGGACAAGTTCCTTGTGTTGTATGAGATAGAGTGCCTCTGTGCTGCTGTGGCAGTTGCAAGATTCTTGTGGTGAGTGGTAAGAATGGCAACCAAGTCAGTCCAGACCTGGCCCTGTCAGCAGCTATCTGTGGCCAATATGAAGGCAGAGGTCACAGTGCTGGTCAGGAGCCTGCTAGAATCAGGGAGGTAGTTTCATTGGCAGAAGCAATAACATAAACTTTCTCTATTTGGGCCTGAGCTAGGCTGTGCTGTCCCAGAGAGATCATGAGGTCAGGGACTGCTCTGCAGCAGCACCAGCCCAGGATGAGAAGCTGGATGGCTCATGGAAATGTCTCTTCGTTATGGATGGCTAGATGAGGTAGTGTCCCCAGTGCATGCAACTGTGTCCTACCTCGCTCTTTTAACTAAACAATTGGTCTAAGTATGAGATCTTTCTATATTGGCCCTTGCTGACATTTCTGATTTAATATTCCCTTAGCCACCAAACAGCAACTGGCATTTACGTGTAATGGATTACAGTGGGCTTTCAGAGATCCTACACTCCGTTAAAAGTTCTCTTTATATAATGCTAACACTTGAGTGGCCTACAGATCTGTAAAAGCATCTAGAAAGACAGTAAAATCAGCAGTTAAGAGGTTTTCAAAAAAGATACCCTGCACTCCCAAAAGCTACAAGGTTGCTGAGAAAAAAACTCAGTGCCAGGGGTGGGCTACTAACCTACGAATTATTGGCCAAAGAGGCACCTGAGGTCTCACAAACTGTAAAACATGTATTACTCTGTCTCTCAGCTGTGGATGCAGCATGATCAGCTGCCTCAAACTCTTGCTGCTATGAAGGACCGCACCCTCACCCTCACCCACGATCTGTGAGCCAAAATAAACCCTTCCTTCCTTTCTTAAGTCGCTTTTTGTCAGGTATTTTGTCACAGCAGCCATCTCTCTAGCCCCAAGGTTGCCATAAAAAATAAATAAATAAATAAATAAATAAATAAATAAATAATAAAAATTTAAAACCTGATTAAACCTGTTCTAGTTTCATTCTGGATTCTGTGATAAAACACTCTGACCAAAAGCAACCTTGGAAAGGAGAGGGTTTGTCTGGCCTACACTTTGGGATCACAGTAGATCATTGGGGGAATTCAGGCAAAAACTCAAGGCAGGAACCACGGAACTGCTTACTGGCCTGCTTGCTGGCTCACTCACAGGCTCATGCTTAGCTAGCTTTCTTATACAGCCCAGTCAATACTGTTCTCTGCAGATGTGCCCATAGGCCAATCCAACCTGGGAAATTGCTCAGTTGAGGCTTTCCTCTCATAGAAGTTTAGGCTGTGTCATGCTGACAGTTAAAGCTAACTAGGGCACCTGCATTTCACAAAACTAATTCTTAAGCAACTTTATAAATATCTCATAAGCACAATGACTTGAGTTCATATTTCTAGCACCTACATAAAAGTGGGATGCAGTAACACATGTTTATAACACCAGTGCTGGAGGGTTGGAGACTGGTAGATCCTGGAGACTTACCATCCACCCAGTCTAAGCAAACTGGCAAGCTCCAAGTTCAATGAGACATTGTCTCAAAAAATAAAGTGGGGAGACCAGAGAAATGGCTCAGCCATTAAGAGCACTTGCTGCTCTTGCAGAAGACCCAGGTTTGGTTCCTAGCACCCACATCGGGCAATTTACAACTGCCTGTAACTTAAGTTCCAGGGGATCCAACACCCTCTTCTGGTCTCCACAGGCACCTGCACATACATGGTGTACAACCACACACACACACACACACACACATACACACACACAGCTAAATAAATAAATCTTTAAGTTAAAAATATAAGTTGGAGAGTCATAGAGGAAGATAATGAATGTCAATTTATGGCCTCTATACATGTATTTATGCATATGTACACACACATGCATATGCCTCACACACAAGAATAATTTTTAATCTCATAGGTGATGGTATCCTAAAAACAGTTCAGGAAATATTTAATGTCAAAAAATCTGAGCTCTGGGGCTAAACTTGATAGGCTAAACTCTCAGACAATGTGTTATTACCAAACGCTAAAGCAGTCAAAGTCCAGAGGACAGTGATTTAATCTACAGGGCTTGGCATGTAGCAGGAAACAGGTAAAGCTCCTCCACTCAGTCATATTGAGAGCTACTTGGTTCCTCTGGCAGCAGTGTAAATCAATGGGAAAGATCCTTGGGCTTCAGCTAGTATAAACTGGTGGTTCTACCACCAAGCCATACTGAAACACAAAACTCATTGCACAAATTAGGTTGCAGATTTTCTTCTGTTCCCCCTTTCCCTCTTCCCCTGCCACCCTCCACATACAGCAATTTCAGATGGTTTGAAAGAAGCAAACCACACTGATAAAACACCACTGTCTGCTGTTTCACACTCCCCGGTAATGTGATTCTTACAAAAGAATTTCTCAACATCTACTCTTCATTTTCAATAAGCAGTCTCCACTGAACTCACCACATACTTTACTAAGAAACATTTTAAATTTTACTAAGAAACATTCTTAAATCCGTGATGAGGGGTGTTCAGGTTAGCGGTTAAAAGGAATCATTCACACTCATAATTTTGAGAAAAGACAGGCTCGTTGTGTGCCACAAGCATCCCCGTTCTAACTCAAGTGGTTGACCAGTGAGCAAATGAACTTGGCTCTGATGATTCTGGAAACTGAAAAAAGGAGAAAGAAAAAGACTTTGTGTGAGAGTGCAAGTGCATGTATCACAGCACACATGGGGAGGTCAGAGCGCAATGTTTGGGAGCTGCTTCTTGCCTTCCACCTTGTTGAGGCAAGGTCTCTCTTGTTTCTTTCATGTTACTTGCTCCAGGCTAGCTGGTCCATGAAATCATTTATTTGTGATGCTTTGGGAAGTTCATTGCCTTGGAAGCTAGAGCTAGTGACCAAAGCTTGGTTCTTATTTGAGATTACTCTCACTAGCTCTACGATTCCAGATACTGTCTCTGGGTCCGTTTCCTCAGTATCTTTTGATGAGTGTTGATCTCCTCTTTGAAATCTTTTTTCAAGACTTAGTGAGATATAGAATAAGTAATACAACTCCCACCTGCCTTGGGGTTCCCTGTCCAGCCTTCATTTCTTTGTCCTCTATCTATGCAAGTACTGAAAGCATGCCCAGCTCCAACACCTTCCACATACAGAACTTCCGTTACCATATCTCAAGGGTGACTAATCGCACATCTGATCATACAACTCAGCATTAAGAAATGTTAGTGGCAAAAGAGCCCTGCCTTCTGGAACATCAGAGGCAGCTGATTTCCAACTGCTTTGGACAAATTACCAAGCTGAGTATTTCATTAATCATTTTTAATTTTGATAAAGGTAGTGGTTACTGAGTATAAACACATGATCTAAAATCACCTCTCCCTGTCTATGTTTTTTTTTTTAATTTCAGGGAGCTTTTCTAGGAGAGATTTAAGCTTTGCATTGTCTAATGTTTACAAAGTTAGAGTTGGAGATGTTTAAAATGGAAAGCCAGACCAGCAAGATGACTCAACAAATAAAAGCACTGGTTTTCCATGCCAGCCTGACAGGAACCCATGTAAAAAAGCAAGATGCAGCTGCACGCATCTGTAATCCTAGCACGCATCTGTAATCCTAGCATTCCTAGGGCACGATGGAGGGTAGAGGCAGGAGAATGACCTGGAAGCTCATAGGCCAGCTAGGTTGGGGTAAACAGCGTGGTAGAAACAGGAGGGACCCTGCCTTAACAAGGTGGAAGGCAAGAACCAACCCCCAAAGGTTGCCCTCTGACCTCCACACGTGTGCTGTGGTACGTGACTTCCACTCTCACACAAATGATAATTTTTTAAGTAAAAATATTTGTTTGGGTTGGCAAGATGGCTCAGCAGGTAAAGGTACTTGTCATACAAGCCTGATGACCTGAGTTTAATCCCTGGAACCCATGAAAAGATGGAGAGAATTGACTCCAGAGTTATCCTCTGACCTCCAATGAATTTGTATATACACAGAGAGAGAGAGAGAGAGAGAGAGAGAGAGAGAGAGAGAGAGAGAGTCAGTAGTAATAGAGTTTTTTAATTACAAAAAGGAAAAGCAGCAAAAGAGAAAGGATATAGCCCTGGGACAGCCTCTGATGATTGAAAGGTTGTCTCCTGGCTCCGTGATACAATCCATCTGACAAATCAGTGTTCAGCCACTTTGATTTTTATCTTTGAAAACACGTAGCTGGAGCCGGTTTAGACACAAGGGATCCTGTGTAGCACATTAGGGAGACAAATGAAGGAAATGTTGACTCCACAGTAATTAGCTTAGTAGTCTTTATTTTTCAACTTTTGTTTATTTTCAGATAACATTACCATGACCCCAAATGTCACTCACCACAGTTCAAAGACTCAGAAACAGCCAGGTGTTTCATATAACTTTTAAGCTCTGATAATCCATAGATTAGGGGTTCTCAACCAGGGGAGTGTTAAAACACAGATACTTGTACCTCACTGCCACCCCCAGGTGGGTGGGTGAAGTGGATTCCAAAGGAGTTTTCAAGTCCCCCCGGGTACATGTAATGTGCCAGAACTCAGCAGTACCACCAAGGCACAAAACTGGACAGTCAACTTTTAAAAACGAAGCGCTTTTTCAATTGTGGCACTGCCCATATGAAGAAATGTGCAGAACATTCTTTGGCTTTTCTAAACTCAGTTGATATAGTTAGCATAGTATCTAAGGCATTTACATTTCTTAATTAATTAGCACTCCATGCCCCCTTGTGGCTAGTCAATAGTACTGCATCCTTAAAATCTGAACACATTAAAGCAAAATTAAGTTCAGGCAATATCTAGATATGCAGTTAAGCTTAGTTTATCATCTTCCCTGGACCTGCCTGACATCTCTCAGGTATTCTCAGCAGAAACTCCAATCGAAGCCTCCCTCTGTGTCCACCCCATCCTCCCAAGGACCAATTGGGCTCTTCTAAGTGCCAGTCTGCAGAAAGCATTCTGGAATTCCCAAATCTAGTTACCTTCTGTTCTACTTTGTTTCTCCATTGCTGTGACAAAACACTGACCAATACCAGCTTTGGGAGGAAATGGTTTATTTCATCTTACATCTCCTGGGTCACAGTTCATCAGGGAGCCCAAGGCAGGAACTCAGGGCAGGAACCTGGCGGCAGGAGCTGAAGCACAGGCCATGGAAGAATGCTGCTTACTGGCTTGCTCCAGTAGTCCATGCTCAACCTGCTTTCTCATACAACATAGGCCCACCTACCCAGGGGTGGTACCACCCACAGAGGGCTGGGCCCTCCCACATCACTCAGTAATAAAGAAGATGCCCCACAGACATGGCCACAGGCCAGTCCAATGGAGGCAATTCCCCAGTTGAGGCTCCCTCTCTCCAGGTGTGTCAAGTTGACAACTAAAGCTACCCAGCACATCTTCCTTCTCTAGATCTTACTTTATCTATAAGAGAACTAAATATGTGACAATCAGTTCTAACATTCCATGCTCCAGATGAAATAGAGTCTAGAAGCTAGTAGAGGGTAGGTTTATCCTGTCATGCAGTTTTCCAGTTGCTCAACCACAATACTTAGAAAATTTGATTGGGAATGTGAAAATAGGAGTGAAAAGATGGGCTTTTCATTCTTGTATATGACTGCTCGCCTTCTACAGGGCTGCCTAAAAAGAAAGTCCGGTGTAAATTGTGAAGCAGGCATCTTCATTTACCTCACATTCACAGCATCTCACACAGGTCCTGCTTAGTAGCAGATGCTCTGTAGATGGATAGAACGGGGAAGGAGAGATGGTGCAATAGCTAGTTTTAATTATCAATGCAACACAACCTAGAATCACCTGGGAAGAGTCTCAATGTGAATAATCTAGATTGAACTGGACTATGGGCATATCTAGGAGGGACTGTCTTGATTACCACCACTGATATAGGCAAAGCCAGCCAAAAAATGGGCGGCACCATTCCCTAAAAAGTATGGGTCCTTGCTGGGCATGGTGGCATACTCCTTTAATCCCAGCACTAGGGAGGCAGAGGCAGGCAGATCTTTCTGAGTTCAAGGCCAGCCTGGTCTACATAGTGAGTTCCAATACAGCTGGGGCTACAGGGAGAGCCTGTCTCAAAAACCCAAAAAAAAAAAAAAAAAAAAAAAAAAAAAAAAAACAAACATTGAGGGCTGTAACCTGGGATTATGAGTTAAACTAAGCCCTTACTCCCCTAAGCTGCTTTTTGTCAGGGTATTTTATCACAGCAGCTGGGAACAAAATGAGGACAGATGGGGCCATTGACAGTAGTTGAATGATTGAGAAGGTGGAAGGGCAGATAGGATGCATGGGGTTGTGTGAGCTGTGCACTTAGTGGTAAAAGACTGAATCCTTAGCCGGCTTCATTACGCTTACAGTAGAGAATGAAGGATGCCTACAGAAATAGACAACTAGGCTCCAGGTCTATTAGGTTTGTGAATAGCTGAAGCTAATGGAATGACATCCATCCCTCCTAGCCTAGTAATACATCCACTGGAATGGAGAATTGGGTTGTCACCTTCAAGCTTTCTCTTCCTGGCTGGGCTGTCTTCTCTCTTCTACAAAGCCCTCTTCTTGGGTTAACTTGTCAGGCCCCACTCAGCTGGGTCATGCTTCCAGAAGACCTGTACTGTGTAAGGTACTAAAGACCAGGTTTGTGAGTCCTGTTTCCTAAGCGTGAGGATATATTCAGCACATGAGCATTGGTCCCTGGAGAGCAATATAAATCATGTCAGATTTATAGTGCCTCCATTCTAGAAAGGCCCTGATAAATGTACATACTTTCACACATAAAAGATACCAATAAAATGACCATAGCACATACTTTTACACATTTTGGAAACCTAAATAGTAACAGATGGACCTGAAGAGTAACAGGGCCTCCCTTTCTCTGTCTCTTCCCCCTTCCCTGACCCTGGGGCATGCTGACAGGATCAGCATGAGAACCATAAAATTGTCAACACCTACCCTTGCACTTTCCATGGTAAGCCTCTCTGTTCCCAGTTCCCACCCAGGAGCTGCTCTTCCTGATGCCATCTCTCTAGGCCCAGATCTCTCTAGTCTCGGACATGGAGCTGAGCCTGTCTCCTTCCCCAGGGCATGAGGAGAAGTCTGAGAATGCAATGAGAGCAGGGACTTGCTGTGCCACATGCAAGGAGTTCCACCAGATGAAGCAGACGGTGCTGCAGCTGAAACAGAAGGTACTATGGGGTTCAGTCGGGTGTGGATGTGTGAGGAAAGGAGAGCTTGACCCATAAGGGATGTTTGGAGTCAATCAGAAAATAAACCATTCTAGTTGAGCACTCAGTGCAGTTGATCGTGAACTCGATGTAGATTTGGGATCCTTTCCCACTCCAGAGCTGACCACTTAAACAGCAACAAAACACAAGGAAAAGAATTGAGGAGGTGGTTATTACAGTAGACACTGGCAGTGGGCACATGCGAACTCATCAAAAGAGTAGAAACACTGCCTTTTGTAGAAGGCAGATACATGGTCCTGGGTAGACCTACGCAGTTGCATTTTATCTTTGTTTTATTTATTGATCACATCCTCTCCAAAGTTTCTGTGAAGTGATGTCTTTTTGAAGTGGCTTTATTTTCACATGTAAAGTTTATGACCTGGGGGGATAAATGATCCACATAGGAAAACCACCCTCTGGGTATGTCAGAATCACTAAAAGGAGGCCCAGCTCCCTTTATGAGAGGCTGCACCTGATGGGATAGGTACTGGCCCTCTGGTAATGTCATCATGTTGTAAGGGCCTCATGATGGGCCTAGTGACCCGACTTCTTGGGTGACTGTCCTGGGCCTGGAGAGTCAGTGTTTATTATACCTGAGGTCAGTCCATTTGCTGGCTTGTCAACAACTCTGAAATGACTCTTGAGCTGCAAAAACATAAACTTGGTGCTTTGTTTAATTGCTTCCACTCAAGGCTCTCAGGAGATCAAAGTAGTGTGTATAATCTGTTTAACTTTGGCAATCAGTTCTTCTAAAGGGCAAAAGGGTAAACATGAGACAATATCTCTTTTCCCTTGTCAGCAGACTGGCAGCTGCTCCTAATGAGAACCCCAGCTACCAGTTAAACCAGCAAAACAACAGGCTGAAAAGGGAAGCAGTATTTCAGACCTCTGGTGCATGGGTTGGTGAGGTCATGATTAACTTATCAGAGGTGCATATATGTACTCTATTATATTATACTAGTTGTAGAATCATAAGTAAAATATAGATCTAATCTTAAATATCTCATGATGTAATAGAGAGACCCAGCAGAAAACATTGTCTGTATGCCAGCAGAAACAGAAAAGAGAAATACATCCCATACAGATATCCCCATGTGACCTTTGAATTGATGTTAGCATTTATGGAGCAAACACAGGAGGTATTTCAGGGAAGCATCAAGCTCACCTTCCACACGCTAGATCAGGTTTGGGGGAGGCATTTGATTGGCATCTGAGGCGTACCTTACAATTCATGGAGCTGCCCCCACTTTCCTCCCCTGGAAATAATCCATGAGCTTACATAAATTCATTGCAGCTGGAGTGGTCTTTAGTAACAGTGGAGCTAAATCATGCAAGCTGTTCACAAGCTCAGTTGTTGTGTTTGGCTTTCCCTTAATCGCCCTGCAGTGTTGTATGATCCATGCAAGTTACAACATATTACAAAGAAGTTAAATGACTTGTGTTGAGATACATGTGACCCTCAAAGGCCCACCATAGACTTACATAAGAATCCATGAAATTGTCCATGCTCACTACCTTTCACATGGTTGAGTTGAGCTAGAATGCCTTATGCCCTGTTGTCCCCAAGCATCCATAGTGACAATCCTGAGCTAATGGTGACATTCATGAAACATTATGAAGACCGACTTGTTTGGGGGTTTCATTTATTTGTGTGTCTGTGTGTCTGTGTGTGTGTGTGTGTGTGTTGAGTGTGTGGTGTATGCATGCCAGTGCACATGGAGGTGGGTATTGCTCACCTGTGTGTGCATATGTGGAGGCCAGAGGTAAAAGTCAAGAGTCTCCCTCAGTCACTTTCCGTCTTATTTTTTGAGACAGGGTCTCTCATTGAACCTGGAGTATATCATTTCAGCTAGATTGGCTGGCCAGCAAGTCTCAGGGTCTGCCTGTCTCCATCCCCCCAGCATTAGGATTGTAGTTGTGTGCTTCCACACTGGGCTTTTATATGAATACTAGGGATCCACACTCAGGTCCTTGTGCTTGCACAGGAAACACTTTGCACCCTGAGCCTTCTCCCCAGCCCTACTTAGTACTTTATTTCTTTTTTGAACTTTTAAAAAGTATTTTACTGAGTTTTTGTGCATTTCATATAATAGATATTAATCAAATTTAGACCCCCCTCCCCCATCCACATCCCAAATAGCCCCCAGATTTTTTGCATTGGGTCATATATTGTCAGGCATTTGTACCCAGATGTCCCTCAAGTTCATCCACTGGAGTTTAGTCAGCTTATCTAGAATCACTCCTTGAAAGAAGATCTACTCTCCCTCACCCACAGTGATCAGCTGCCCATAGTTCCCCTGCGAGGGCTGAGTCCTTCCCTCCCTTTCCTTTCTTCCTTCTTCCCCTCCTTTATTTTCCTTTCCTTTCCTCTCCTCGTCCCTTACCTTCCCTGGTCTTTCTCATCCTTTCCTTTTCTTCCTCTTCCTTCTCTTCTTTTAGGCATGGTCTTGAACTAGCTATGCAGTAGAGGACAACTTTGAATTTCTAATCCTCCTGCCTCCGCCACCCAGGTGCCAGGATCATGGGCATAAATCATGCCCAGCTGAGGAGCAATTCTTTGTAAAAGGTGCCTACTGGAATGAATTTATTTCTATGGTATGTAAATCACTTTTATATCCAGAATCTCACTTAACTGTCACCATAGCCCTGTAAGAGACATGCAAGTATTCCCAAGAGGTCAGACCTAAAAGGCCTTCTCACTCCTCTGTACCCGTGTCTGGATCGTCATTTGATTTTAGTATCAGCTTGTTATTGCTGATACCATCTGTTTCATTTATAGACAAACACAGGACATCTGCCTAGATAAACATTGGCAGGAAGTAGATGGCCAAGAAACAGGTGGCAATTCAGGTGCTGGACAGCAGCCAAACCCACACTAGGAGACGGTACACACACACTGAACGGCACCAAATGTACGGTGACAGAATTCCAGCTGCAGGCAATGCCCCAGATTAAATACTGTGGACTCTTAAAGGGATAAATTATAAAGAAAAGTCATATGCAGCAGCAATCTGCAGGATACAAGAAGCATAAAGACTTGTTTTTTGGAGTCAGCAAGATGGCTCAGTAGATAAAGGCACTTGCAAAGCCTGACAGCCTGAGTTGGATCCCCACAACCAACATGGTGGCAAAAGAAAAACGACTCTCTCAAGTTGTCCTCTGACATCCATCAGTATGTGTGTACCTATGCATGCACACATATACACACACAGTAAATAAATAAAATGTAATTTTTAAAAATGTAATGTATATATGAACCATGAACTTTTATCCAATCATAAAGAAGAATGAATTGTGTCATTTGCTGAAAAAAATGGATGTAACTGGACCAATTAAGTGAAATTTGCCAGACTTGGACAAATATTCCATGTTTTGTCTCATTTGTAGATCTTGGGTTGTACGTAGATACGTGACCCTGTGTGTGTGTGTGTGTGTGTGTGTGTGTGTGTGTGTATGTATGTATGTGTGTGAGAGATGAAAGTACAAGAGAGACTGTGGGAAGAAAGGATACTAGCGATGTGGGGAAGATACATGGTGAATATGGTCAAAGGACATGATACCCATGGAAGAAATTTTCTTTATGAGGCCCATTGCTATAAATAATGAACATACACTAATAAAAAGAAATTGAGCAACATCACTGAAAACTAAAGTGTGGCTTTCTTAAATATCATAGTAATATTAAGAGAGGCTGCTTCGTGTGGTTAGGAACATAGAGTCTGGAAGGAAATTTGCTTGCTAACTGTGACCTGGGGTAAGTTTCAGAACCTCTCTGTGCATCAGTTGTATAAAAAATAGAAAACAACCCCCGCTAAATAGGGTTTCCATGGTATCAAATGAGCTAATATGTAAAAGACTTACAATAGTGCCTGTCACCTAGAAAAAGCTCTGTGCTTCCCAAGTTCATGATGAACATTAATGGTTAGCCCTGCCAGTCATGTTCACATCTTTCTATGGTAGTTGCTCCAACATGAAGCCAAAGCTGATCTGAAAGAATGATGCTTGGTGCATTTTTTTGCACCCAGGAGAGGTGGAAACTCTGATTATACTACCATCACCTTCTTCCCAAGCATCTGCACCCACAAGCCTGTTCCCTGATGTGTTTGCAAAACGTCATCTGCCACACTTGCTGCCATTCCTGCCCTCTTGCCCAAGGAGTACAGGATTTACAGGCAGCAGGAAGGTGATTACCCATAAGGCTCATCCTGAACACTGGCTCACCACATAACTTGAACACAACTTGAACACAGGAGCCAACCAAGGGGTAAAGACACCAGCAGCATCTCTAAAGACCAGTCACAGGTGGAGATCTGGGCCTGCTTACAAAATTTTGAGTACAAAAATGTGAGTGCTTGGAGGAAACCTTCCTTTTGTAGACACAGAGAGGAAAATTTAGGTTAGAAAAATTACCTGAAGCTGCTGCCTGGGAACAAAGCAAGGAGCAAGCACAGGCAGACCCCTGTTTGTACTAGATGGTTCCTAGGCTGAAGAGACTTTGTACAGCCCCTTTGCACTCTGAATAGCTTTAATTAAGAGCAACATTCATCAAGACAGGGCTTTGCGGCCTCTGCAGCGTCTGTCACAATGCAGTCCTGGCTTTCTGATCCAGATCTCTTGTCCTTACAGATTGCTCTGCTTCCCAACAATGCTGCTGAACTGGGCAAATATGCCAATGGTGACAAGGTACTGGCTTCAAACACCTACCTTCCAGGACCTCCTGGCCTGCCTGGGGGGCAGGGCCCACCTGGTAAGTATGAAGAAGGGCCCAGGAGGCTGGTGGTGTGTCCCCACTCCACCCTTCTAGAACATAAGCTGGCTGAGGGCTCACATTCAGTGGGTCTAGACTGTGATCTCCAGAATCCATTTGAGAAAAGTGGAGCAGGAATACAGAGGCAACTGTAGAATGAGAGGGTGTAGGGAGTTCAGTGCTGTAGCTTGAGAAGAAAAGGTGGTTTTCTGGAATTGGATAAGCTTAATTTTAAAAGCTGAACATGGTGGCACACACCTGTAATCTCAGCACTCAAGAGCTGAGACAAGAAGATTGAGAGTTAGGGGCTATCTTAGGCTACACAATGAGATCATATCTAAAATTAAGTTAAAGAGAAGCACAATGAAAACTACCCTTTAACTTCATCCTAGAAAAAATTTAACATATACAAAATAAAGTGATATAATCAGTCAGTTCTATCAAGTCATAGCCAGCCTCATCACCACTGTCCCCAAGTCTCTATTCACCTTCACTTATTATTTAACACCTTTTCAACTATATTTTTCTTATTCCTATTACATTTCCCTTATAAGTGGGATATATTGAGGTACAGCTCATCAAATACTGAAATGTGTCCTTCCAAGTTTAAGTTTGAGTTTTGATAAGAATGGGCTCGCACGTAATCAACAATCCATCTCAACACCAAGATAAAGGAAATTTTCACCATCCAGAAGGGTGGCATTTGCCACCAGTGTTCTCCCCACACCAGTTCCAGGTATCCAGAAACCTGCTTTACTTCACCCAGGTCTTCCCATTGTAGGGCTGCACAGTGGCAGAATCTTTTGTCTTGTGTCCTTTTGGATTTCTTTCATTCAGTGTATGGTTTTGGAGATTCACCCTTATTTATTAGAACAAAATCTCAAATGTCTTATCATCTCATGAGAAAACATATAATGAGAGCTTTAAAGAATAGTTCTGAGGTGTTTCACACTTTATTGTGAGCCCTTGATAAGTATATCGGTAGATTCTGTAGCACCAATGAAGGAAATGACACCAATGTTAGAACGTGACTCTAAACCATGGACTGTCTTAGCCCAGGTTATCATAACACATCAGTGTATTGAGTTCTTATCTCTTGTGTTCAAACTGAGAATATGTGACATGTACAGTGACTGCAAATAGCAAAAGTAATCCAGGATTGCACCTGTAATCTTAGCATTAAGGAGGCTGAGGTAGAAGGACAGCTGTCAGTTTGAGCCCAGCCTGGGATGCAGAGTGAGAGCCTATCTCAAAAACAATCACAAGAACAATATATACCTGCCTCCAGTAAGTATTTAATCTTTCAGAGCAGGAAGGACATTGCATGGTCAAATTTTTTATCAAAAGGGACAGAGGACCTGAGTTTGATTCCCAGGAGCCATGTCAGACTAACAACTGCCTGTAACTCCAGCTCCAGGGACTCCAAAACCTCTGGCCTCCAAGGGCACCAGCATTCATGTGCACACATGTACACACACAAGCACACACCCACACACACATCTTTAAATAATAAAAATAAATCTTAAACTTTTTTAAAGTTCTGCAAGAAGCAAGGTTCAGAGTTCTTCCCAAAGGATTTATGTGTTTTCTGTCTTCTTCTGTCTTAATGTCCTTGTTTCCATTGAACCTGGTGGCCTGGGGCTTCCTCTACACAGAAAAGAACTGGCCCGTGACTTTGATTTATCATCTTGTTCATCCTGAGGTTCCCTGCATCGTGGCAGAGTTTTCTCCAGCAGATGCTTCACACTAGCATCCTCTCGCTCCTTCTAACCAGAGGTCGCTCCATATAAACTGATTGCTAGCACAGTGTCCCCTTCCCTCTTCTGGGAGGGGAGAATGTTATTGCTTTGCTTTGCTAGAGGAAGTTCATCCTCAGGCCAGTCTACACATCACTAGAACAAGGACACCTACAGGAGGGAGGAAGCCATTGGCTGTCCGTTTTCTTAGCAAATGACTAGCTAGCTTGCCTTCTCATGCCACCATCTGGTTTCTAACATGGTTTGAGCTGTCCAGGGTCCTTGAGGGAACAGAGAGCAATGGAAGACAAATGAACGTTTGCAATGTGTGAAGAATTTCTCCTTTATTTTTAGCCTTGTGATGCCCTCCATTGAGATGTATTAAGGCAGCTAGAAAACTAATAATTATTGGTTCTCTCACTTTTAAATAGTCCTTCAGTCCATGATGAATCACAGACTGAAACAACGGCATGGGAGACTACACTAGGCTGGGCCCCTTCGGTTTTAGTAGTAAGGGGGTGGCTCCTCCTCTCTGGCCTCCACTCTTATACATAAAGTGCTTCCATTTTCACACCAAGGTCCTACATTTTAGAGGCACTTGCCATACAGTGACCTCCGAAGTTCACTGATTAGGCGATTACAGGTAACATGTTACCTCTACCCTGTTCTTCTGCTATTGGACATAGAATAATTACAGAACTGATCTGTCCCCCTTCCCTGATAAACTCTTTCAATATGTACCTGAGACCAATATGGAGAGTTGGAACATGAGGTATGTTTGAATGGAGCATTGATTGCCTTCCATGTTGCCTTAATAAGTGTAAATTAGAAAGGATCTCCCCAAATATGAAAAGCCTAAGGTCTTTGTTTATTTTGTTATCCATAGCCTGGAAGCTATTCCATGCTGTCACTATGCTGTTAGTAGTAGAGGCTAGGTATGAATGAAAAGACAACTCTAGGGGCTGGAGAGTTGGCTCAGCAGTTAGGAGCACATACTACTCTTATAGAGGACCTGAGTTTGGCTCCCAGCACCCATGTCCAGCAGCTCACACCTGTCTGTAACTGCAGTCCCAGGGTATTTAATGCCCTCTTTTGGCTCCCTCAGGTACCCGTGGCTCTCACACATGACGGATATTTGCATACACACCCACACACACACAAATAAATATAAGTATTAAAATTTTTAAAAGAAAAGACTATTCTAAGGAATAAATATGGCACAGAAACCAACTCTATCTCTTCAGTGCACTCACTTAACAAGAAAGCTTTATAAGCAGCCTGTTAACCTGGGTGTCTCTGAGAGTACATGGATGAATAAAACACAACCCATGTTTATTTGCATGCAATTATTTTCACTTTAATTTCTACCTCTCTGCTGAAAGTCCTCACCTGTCCAGACACCATCTATCATTTCCACAAACACCTTAACATATCAGCCAATGCCATTTTAAAGTCCTTAATGGGTAATTCCAGCACTTGACTCACACCTGAGTCACCCCAGAGTCTGGTTCTGCTGATTGTTCTATCACTTGACTCCCTCTTGTTTATTTTGCTTTTTTATGTGCCTCAAATTTCTTGAATGAATGCTGCACATCATTTGCAGATGAAGAGTAGAGCCTGAGATGCATGGTAATCACTCTTTGAAGTGGGTACCTTCTTCTTTTGTCAGGTCCCTAACAGGAAGTTGAGTCAACCTAGTGAGTAGTTGAGCTATTTCAGGATTTTGCTGTTCACATATTTACCTTCAGTGCTTTGCAGTCTTCAAATGTTCAAATCCCTTCAAGAGAAGGATACTGTTCATCTGTGCTGAGTGGGGGCCCAAGATGCCAGTGGATTTTCTCTGTATTTGTACTTTACTACTGGCTTTCAATAACTCCTGCTCAACTGTCCACATTCTTGTCCCTCCTCAGTGATGGATTTCTTTTACTTTATACTTCATGCAAATGTTGTAGGAGTAGAGAACAGCTTCACTTCTCTTTGACTTATGCCACTGGGTCTGGAAGTGAGACCCTCTTCATCATACTCACCCACAGGAAATCATGGACAGGACAGCATCTCCCACCCTCCAGCTTTTACACCGGTCACACTCAGCTTTTACATGGGTGATAGGGATCTGTACTTGGGTCCTCATGGTTATGCAGCAAGACTTTACCCACAGAGCCATCTCTCTGGCCCCCAAAATATTCTACTCTCAACCACTCCCAGGGTGTTATAATATTACATACAGCTTTGCACAGACCAGCATAGGTTACATTAAAGTGATAAAGTAGTCAGGAGCTGATCATTGAGCTGAGGTTGTGGACATTGGGATATACTATAGAATATTCTTATTTCTTGCTTGAGCTGATGCATAATAGATGGTCCATGCAAAGAGAAGAGGTTAAAGTCACTTTTGATGGTGCTGAGTTTAAATTCCTATGTATACATTCAGGTAGATGCCACACGGCAAAGGACAGAGTTCAAAGAGTAATGCCTCAGGGACTCCTGGGTTCTGTAGCTGTCCTTCTCATGGGGTGTGTGTTAATAAGGTCTTCTTTCTTACAGGCTCACCAGGACCCAAGGGGAGCCCTGGCTTTCCAGGTATGCCAGGCCCTCCTGGACAGCCTGGCCCACGGGGTTCAATGGGACCCATGGGACCATCCCCTGACCTGTCCCATATTAAGCAAGGCCGGAGGGGCCCTGTGGTCAGTATCTTCTCTGTGATCTATACACTGTTGCAGAGCATAAATATTCTGGCCCCATAACTCTTCTTTCAATTAAATCAGATGCTTGTGTCTTGCAGGGCCCACCAGGGGCACCAGGAAGACATGGCGCTAAGGTGAGTGTTATGAATGATCCTTAACAGCTGCAGGTCTGTTTCCATCTGATGGTGGGCACCCAGTGAAGCTCCCCTTGTTGCATGAAGTAAAACACAGGCACACAGGTTGAGCATGCCAAACTCAAAAATCTAAAGTGCTTGAAAATTCTAAGTTTTTGGAGCACTGGAGACACTGAAAAAAAAGATTTAGATTTTGGTCGGAGTGTTGTGGCATAAGCCTCTGTGTTGTTTTTCTCAGTAACCTGTGTTGTTTTGTTAGAATGGTTATTTCATGTGACTTCATTTAAGTGGAGAACCACACCTTCATTCGAAGTTAAGAGCTGAGGGCTACTTGTTTCCTGTTGAAACTGGTACGTCTCACTTCAGAAAGCTTGTTCTTTCACATGCTTCCTTGAAATACAAGTTTTCTTCTTATCATATCTGGTTTGAAGACCTATGACCTTGGGAGAACTCAGCAGGAGAGCCACTTGACCCAAGCCCCTTAATTCTAAGCAGCCCCGTAAGTCCAACTTTAACACTCAATTTGTTTCCTATAGAAAACATTCACGTCTTGCAGGAGGATGGTTATGGGAGTTGGGTATCTAACTAAAGACTATGATGCTGACATCTGAATGCTAACACTGGCCTTTCCATTTTAGGGGGAGAGAGGAGCACCTGGGCCCCGAGGATCTCCGGTAAGTTGCACTGTCAGGTCTTCCTACCCAGAGGGTATGTTCTCAGGACTGTGGCTCTCATCCTAAAAAAGCATATATGTCAGGTGAGATGGCTCAGTGGATACAGACACTTGCGGCCAAGCCTGATAAAGCTGAGTTCAATTCCCAGGACCCACATGGTGGAAGGAGAGACCCGATTCCCACAAATTGTCCTCTGACCTCCATGTGAGTGCTGTGGCACATGTGTCTACACATATACACATATTAATTAATTAATTCCTGTAAAAATTTTAATGAATGTATGAGTGGGTCTTGTAATGGAAGTTCACTTGCCCAGCCTTGCTCATCTTGTCACTCAGTCTATCCCAATAGAGCTCTGTGTTTAGGAAAAAGTTGCAAATGCCTTAAGCAAGGGGCTTGGATTTATTTTTTTAATTTGTTTTCTGTTATCAGTTTTTCTTTTATCTTGACTAATCTTACATGAAATATCTTCTTGGAAGCCCTCTATGCTAGGAGTCCATTTCTAAGTATATCACAAGATTATTGAAAGGAGATCTGAGGAGATAGCCAGTTGGTAAAGTGCCTGACAGGTAAGCGTGAGGACCTGAATTTAATCCTCAGAGCCCACAGGAAAAAGCTGGGTGTGACGGTACACACTTGTAATCCCAGGTCTGGGGAGATGGACATAGGTGGATCCATGGGGCCCAGCCAGCCTAGGAAATCAGCATTTCCAGGCCGTAGAGAGACCCTGTCTCAAAAAACAAAGTGGATGGTACCCGAGGAACAACACCTAATGTTGACTTCTGGCCTCCACAAATATATACACATATATGCATCCATATCTATTCACACAAAAAATATAGATGAAAGGACTAGGATAGAAAAGTATATTATTACAGCTCCTAACACACTACTGCCCTAGCAGGTCAAATGACCATCCTCTCAAAATAAATGGGGGAGTGGGGGGTCCTTGGGCCTTGAGAAGAAATTAGCTACCTGTGTGTACAATGTCTAGGAGATTTAAAGTAAACAGAAATATCCAAAGTGACAAAGACTATAAGTAAGCCCACTTCTTCTGCAGGGGTCCATGTGTTTTTGAAGAAGGACCAAGAACCGAGGGCTGGGGCCACGGAAGTACACAGCCTGGGCTCCCACCTCAGCTCTTATACCTGTTAGCTTTCTCACCTTGAACCTATCACTTAGCAAGTTAGGACATTCATTCCTCACCTGTGCAGTGCCACAGGAATCTAATCTACCATACCCTGTGTAGGGTGAGGGCCAGATGACATCAGAAAACTGTACATAAGCACTTTGCATTAGCAGCAGCAGCTTAAAAGTTGGTAATGATTTTACCTTTAGGTTTCTAATGGGCTCAGAATATGCATGATTGTGCTTTTTGTTTTTCCTTTTCACCATTCTGCACCAAAGCATTGCATGGTATTAAGACTTATTAAATACCATATAATGATAAAGGATGTTCAGTACATAGAATTAGGAAGGTTTTGTTTGGCCCTTACCTAGCCAGTGGTCATCTTATAAGAATATCAATAATTTCACTTTTAAAGAAGGCTAGAGAACATTTTGAGCTTTTAGTGTTCTAAAAATGCCATTTGAATGTCATTTACGAACCCTGTGAAAACCTGTGATTGATGTTGAGGCTATTGTCTCCATTTTAGAGGTGGGGAAAGCCTAAACCAAAAAAAAAAAAAATCAAGTAACTTGCCCAAAACTACACAGCTCCCAAGAAGAGCTAGGGTTCAAATCCAACAGAACCCCAACCTCTTAAGCACTACTTTGACTTTCAGAGTCCTTTAGAAAGTCCCCAGAGAAGGAAGAGATGTAAATGTGTCACTAGTGTCCATTTTTGAGATGAGGGATTGGAGGACAATGTTGAGGGTCCCAGGCTGTGATTGTTAGGCCTCCATTTAGGACACAGAAATATCCACAAGCAGCAGGACTAACAGGCCTTGGAGACAGGCAAGCCATTGTTGTTGTGCTGAGGCTACTATAACTTCAGAGCTTTGTTTCCTCACACACAGGGACCCCCGGGTTCTTTCGACTTTCTGCTGCTGATGCTGGCTGACATCCGCAATGACATCATAGAGCTGCAGGAGAAGGTGTTCGGGCACCGGACTCACTCTTCAACAGAGGAATTCCCTCTACCTCAGGAATTTTCCAGCTACCCAGAGAGTCTGGACTTTGGCTCTGGAGATGATTACCCGAGAAGAACTGAGGCCAGAGACTTGGGGGTCCCCAGAGCCTTTCATCCATAGCACATCCCATATCTTCATGCAACACAAGAAAAGTGTGTCTTCACATGTAGCCATAGCGTCTGAAGAGAAAAAAACCACTGGAGACCTAAGGATGTGATGGGTTAGCATGCTATTTACATCCCGACTTTTCTTTTCTTTTTTTTTTTTTTTTTTTTTTCAGGAACTCGTGAATTTCTGAGTTAAGTACTCCCAAAGCATCTTAAGATTGAAAAGTACCAAAAAGGGAGAAATGGCAACGTGAGCTCTTGGAAAATGTGAGGTCCCTTCTAAAAATAATTTTGCTCAAAATAGATTGTATTCTTCATCTGCTACTGTCAAAATTAAGGCTCTTCAATTTAAAAGGGGTGAGAAGGATCACCATGACAATTGGCCTGGGTAAATGATTAGTTTTCCTTATCAACTTCACTGATTTTAAATATTGCAGCTTTGTTTCCCAAATTTGGTTATAGAAACCAGAGAATTAAGAAGTGCGTGTTAGGGGTGATAGCGAAGATAGAGTCTTATGGTATTTCTTGTCATATAGGTTACCACAATATAATCAAATATGACAATCAATCATTCATGCCAATCTTATCTGTAAAATCCAACTGGGAGAAGAAATTTCCTTTGGGTATAGTACTAAATCATCCTTTCTAACGGTAGGAAGGAAATGAAATACCCCCAATACATACTAAGAAATGAGGGCTCTTGGTTGCCAGGACATCTGAAAGCTGTTTGGTCAAGAGAGTGATCCTGCTCCATAAATCTCAGATGATTTGTTAAATAAGGTAGCTAACTTTTTTTTGGGGGGAGGGGGTTTGAGACAGGGTCTCCCTGTAGCCTTAGCTGGCCTGGATTCACCATAGAGACCAGGCTGGCCTGGAACTCACAGAGATCCGCCTGCCTCTGCCTCCTGAGTGCTGGGATTAAAGGCATGCACCACCATGCCCCGCCAAGGTGGCTGACTTTTAAGAAGAGGTACATGATGCTCTGACACTGACCAGGCATCTCACTGTCCTGGTATCTTGACAAAGGGCAAAGGAGTACATTGAGAGGGACCGTATTGAAGTCATATCACCAGAGGGAGGTGAATTTGCTCTCGCTGGGCATTTTGAAGTCCTCATCTGGAGCCAGCAAAGCTTACCACTATACTGGGAATAAGGTACTGTTGAGAGGTCGCTTAGATAGGGAGGGGGAAAGTTTTGTTCCTTGCTTGGCAGAATTTTCCCCACGACTCAGTTTTTCCTTGATTAGTCAAAGTTCTAGTTCTTTCAGGCCTCTTGACTTCTCTTCCTCAGCCAGGTGGGAAACAGTTGAGAAAGAAGCGCATTCCACAGCTTCTCTGGAGTCCTGATTGCTCAGAGCTTATCTAGGTCCCAAGGGAATTGTATTTCCTGAAAGAAACAAAACGCCAGGTTCCTCCTTAATGGTTTGGGGGCCTCTTGCTTTCCGGGGTCAGCTAACAGGTTTCTGAGTGAACATTTTCTTCTTGGGCACACACTGGGCAGTGTTTTATGGATAATATTGCCCTTCTCTAGAACTTCCTGCCGCATCTTGCTCACATGGCTGCCCATATCAGCTTCTCCTGGGAAGTTTTTATCTGGCTTTTAGCTTTGTTTCATGTCCTTTTAGCCTCCATCACTTTACCCCCACCCTTGAGCTTGTTGAGTTTGCATGGCAGTTTTCTTGAGGAACCAGAAGGGTCTCTGTTTACACAGCTCAGATGGCCCCTATCTTCTCTCTTTTCCTTTCTTCCCTCTCTTCCCCTTTTCTTCTCCCTTCTGTCCCTCCATCTCTTCCCTCCCTTGCTTTCCCTGCATCCCTCCCTTCGCTTCCCTTCCTTTGACTTCCCTCCACTTGCCTCCCTTCCTCTCTTCCTTTTCTTCCCTCCCTCCTTTCCTCCCTTCCTTCCTCCCTTCTCTCCTTCCTTCCTTGATTCCTTCCCTTTCCTTTCCTTCTCTTCCTATCCTGTTAGAAAGGTAGGACTCCTGCCCACTTCTACACATGCCAAATCCCCAGTGGCTCTCCACCTAAAGGCAAACCCATTCGCATTGCTTGCCAGCTCCCACCTTTCTTCCTACTTCAGTTTCTCCAGAATCTGAGCTTCATCACAGATGACCTTGCCAACCACAGGTTCATAAAGAGATGGATGCAACTACAGTTGGGTCCCACCTGGAATCTATTTAATGTTTGCCTGCTTGTGAAACACAGTATTTAAAGGATGTGGATGGATGAATGTGCAAACTACACACAGGCTCTGTGAGTGATGACTGTGTCCACTTTTTTTTGAATGATAAATTTTACGATCTCTGCTTTTTCTAGATGGTGAACTGTGTTTAGAAATATAATCATTGTTGTCAAATGCTGATAAAATGCAAGCACACTGCGTGCTTGGCCAGAGGCCAGGAAAATATACTAAAAGAATGAACTGAAAGCCATAATATCTGGGATTCATGAGGCCAATCTAGATAATTATCTCCAGGGAAGCACACAACTGCATTTTGCAGTCTCAATCTGCCGGGCCAGATCAATTTAGGTAATCATTAATCCTCAGATTTTCAAAACTTCAACTACTACAAGACCAAATATGTACTCTCTATGCCCAAATTATATTTTTCCAAGATAAAACATCATAAAACATTATTGCTTATGTATCTTTTTGTTATGAACAGCAAAGCAGTGCTTCATGATCTAAACAGACTTCTCCTCAAAATCCCATGGGAAAGCCTTTGGGAGGGAGTAAAGTTTGCTATAGATTTACGGAGTCACTTCATATTTCATGGGAGAAAGTGGGTTTTATACCTTCCTCAACTCCTTAATAGAAATGTTCACTTTGATTTGATCCACATCCCATAAGTAAAACTTCATTATAAATTGCCCATTTCCATAAAGCAATATTAAAGAGGACATGCATTTTAGTTCAGGAAAAAAACATTCTATTTTCCTAGTACCAGAGTGAATAATGTCCAGCTTTCCTGTGCCAAGAAAAATTAAAAAATAAAGAGGAGCACAATGTGGTGATACATACCTGTAATCCTAGCACCTGAGAAGTAGAGACAGGAAGATCAAGAGTTCAAGGTCAGCCTTGACTATACAGCAGGTTTGAGGCCAGCCTGGGCTGCATGAAACCTGTTTAAAAAATAAAAATTAGCCAGGCGTGGTGGCACATGCCTTTAATCCCAGCACTTGGGAGGCA